AATAGGTGACAGAATGACAACAGAAGAAGCTGTAATGACTTATACAACTTATTATGAAACTGTAACACCGGATGAGAAAAGATGAATGAGTCATAACTTGAAATACAAATACTGCTGTACAAAGAGATTCTATCACTTTCTCGATCTTGCTCTTTTCAGCATTATGAAGAGGTGTTGTTACTGTTTGGATTACAAATTTGAGCTTTTGTGAAGGAGATAATAAGAAAATTGAATTCACCCTCAGCTGGTTAAAATATCTGTGCGATTTTACACACATTCATTCACAAAGCAATTTGTACCCCCGCAACCTCTTTAAAAGTAAAAGCTTTATCTTAATTTATCATATCCTCTGATCAGTGGTAGAATCTGTAACCTTAGAATATGAAAATTTGTTCAAATGTAGGAATCTACCTGGAAAGTTTAGCAAAAAACGCACATACCATGTTGTTTATTTGGCAAAAGTAATGAAAGACTACTTAGTTAGGTTTGTCTCAGGTTTCTGACAACAAAGACGGGCTGACTTGAATGGAGCCTTGAGGGGTTGCAGGGGTTGCTGTATAGTGAGTAGTTACGGGCCGTGACCGTATCGATTGTTCCAAAAATAATGTGGGTGGTAATTAAGTAGGTTGAAGGAAGGAAATACGTATTTATATTTTTAGTGAAGCAAAGAGGTCTGCTGGCATAACTAGATTTTGTCAATGCCAGACCTTCTCTAAGGCAAACGGCGCCACGTCTCACTGATACTACATTGTTTCTGAGGATGTTTAAACAGACATCATCAACTCCGAAGCTGATTAAATCGAGACATTGGCGCAAAAAAAAAAAAGTCGTTGGTTAGCACAATTGTTCACAGAATTAACGCTTCACTTCTATTTTGTCTATTGTTTGCGTAATTTATCCCCTTTCCTGAGCAGACGATTGACTAGTGTTACGATCACCGAACAGAAGTTACCATACAAAACTGACTTGTACTCTTTGAGTTGGCTTTATCAATCATACCACATTGGTTACGAAAGTTGTATTGTCAATTCTTTGTACGTGCAGTTGATAAGCAAGTTATTACTAACTGGCGTTGCTTTTCATAAGCACACATCGATAATTTGAATGAAAACACGAGACGACATTCTAAGGTTTGAGAGAAAAAAGAAAAAGAAAGAAAAGGAAGGCAAGAAATAATCTCGTTTTCCATAACGGCAAATTTGTGTCGTATTTTATTTTTTTTTGTCTCCACTATTTAATGCTGTGTTTATTTATTGAAGAGAAATCTCCTTTTCCCTCAATGTTTACATATGCTGTAGGTGGGAAGGAAAATATTATGATATTGTTTTGTGTAATGCTTTTTGATCGGAAACGCGAGTAAACGAAAAAGAATTAAGTTCTGAAGCAGATCTCATTGTAGATTATCACATAGATTAACAAGCCACTAGCTGGCAGAACCTTATCTGATATTTTGTCGTGAAGGTGTCAAGTAAATAATCAGAAATGTGCGGTCGCAATAAGTTTTTATCCCTATTTCAACGGGAATCCTCAGAAAAAAATCGTTAAAATTTAATGAGCAACTAAGAGATGATAATTTCTACCTATAAATAGCTGTATATTTTATGAATTCTTTTTTGGTTTTACATCGAAAGTTAAAAATGAAATGTGTATTCCGTATTTTAAAAATTTTCTCTATAGCCTCAAAAAATATTTTTTTTGTGAAAAGGAACTGACAGCATTTCAAGTCTTATCTTCATCACGTGACACTTTGTGATGACCCTCTTATTGCAAAGCCCCACCTTCACATGAAAGAATTGATCTTCCGTCGAGAAATCTCAGAATTAAGAGAGGGCACTCGCAGCAGTAGAGTGCAAAAATGGATACACTTAACTTTGGACCGCCTTCACTTCACAAACACCAGACTAACAATGCTGCGAGATGAAAATAATGATGGAAGTGTACGTCTTTCCTTTCGACTCGCAAATGTTGATAAAAGCATGATTCGTTGAAGCTCTTTCCCCCGTACTGGGCTTGGTACAGAATAATATTACTAGTCTATTTTTGATCGAACCATCTCTATGTAAAACATATCCCAACGGGAAAAAAAATATACTTTATTAGTAGTTCATTGTATCAATGTGAACCTTTTCCTTTCTATTTCAAATTTAGTTTTGATCAGTAAAACAAAGCATAGGAAATCATTTGAGTTTTTTTTTTGAATGGTGGTCAAGACAAAACAAACCATTTCGTGTGGCGGAAAGGCGTTGAAAAGAGGACCAAACAAGACTGTTAGACAGAGAATACGAATTAGTTTTCTAGTTTTTATCATTTGCACAAAGATTTTGTCTGTTAGTGCGTTTTGTCATGTCATTCTTTGCTCTGAAAATTGACGCTATTTGTTTTATTAGCCATATTAAAATTTACAAAAAATATTGATTTTAGAAGGAGGAAATTCGCCTCTTTTTATTTTCCAGTCCTCCTAATGAATTCGATTTTTCATCAGACTCCAGCAACTATCAAGTCTTTAAGTTTTGCAATTTTCAATTCAAAGTTTTATCACCTACACGCAAAATTGAAATTGGATTAATTTGAATCCTGTGTAAACTGCGTTATTGAGGAAATACGAAGATAAATTTAGGAAATGTCAGCTCAAGTTTATACAAAAATTTAAGCCAAATCAGACAGTGAAAAAAAAGCTTTCTTTGCATCCTTGTGTTTGAATAATGTGTTGCCGCCTGACCAACCATGTCTCGCCAGTCAAAATTTTCAGTCAAATAAGTTGCGTTTCCAAAAAAAAATCATACATGAACCAATAAGTTTCCTTTTAAAGAAATTCGCTGCCGCACCTGAAATGACAAAGATAAAAGAGACAAAACCTTGAATCAACAGCACGGTTTAGTAATCAAACATTTTTAAACAGTAAACGGCCATTTTTAATTAAAGTTAGTGTTATTAAACTATTGTTGAACACACAAAGCTGCCTCAATAAACAAACAGTGGGTTTTTTATCCCTTTTGTAACCAAGAACCTCTCAATCATAAAACAAGTTCATTTTCCCGCCGCAAAATTGGTTCTCGATTTCAGAGATCAATCAATTCAGAATTTAGAGGTGTTTTGATTTCGCGAAAAATTAAAAATTTCAAGTGCTCTTCTTTAAGGATTGACTGAGAGCGTGATGCGAGGCTGTTTGATCAGTTATTTCCTTGGCTTTATTTAGCCAATAACTTTGAAATGTCACTGAGCTATGACATGAAATCACAGTTAATGATGTCTTTTTAATTCTGTGCTGACAGTCATAAAGAAAAAGAAAAGTATTCACAAAACTAACCCGGTCGCAATTGTCCAAAAAAGACTCCGTTTCCTTTTCATTGTAAAGAAATCGTGTCAAAAATAGCTTTATGACCGCGAATTTCCCACCCAGAAATTCGCAGCCGTCCATTCGGAAATGCGCTTCCGTTGTCAGAAATATTTCCAATTAAATTCTGTGTTGCCTGAGCCCGAAGCGTCATTTTTTTCGTGTTAAAGTGCGATGCACTAATTAAATGCTAAAATAAAGTGAACAGAGGCGAAATTTGTTAGCAAGTCTAATTTTATGTAGCAATGAAATCACACTTTTTAGCAAACTTCCTGCATCGCATGCAGCATAGGAAATTTAAAGTCTAAATAAAAACCTTTTATTACCTTTATAGTAAATACAGCTAATCTTTAAACAAGCAACAATAAAACTTTTACTTATCCACATGTACAGGCGTAAAATATTAAACATCTTCAGTCTTATAGGAAACGATATATCCAAAATCTATTGTTGTCGTCCCTGAGAAAGCTTAAGACCTGAGACGCACCCATCGTAACCACGTTGGCAAAATAAGCGCACTACCCTCGTACACTAGAATTGTCAAAATTGAAAAGGGCTTTGTAACGGGGCATATAAATGTTCGCATCAGATCTGAGTTCTTCAAGTTACTATTGTTTCTACAGCCAAAAAAGACATGATACTGTTGTGATTTTCGCTTGTATTGCAGGGGTTAAGTTCATCTATCCCGAATAGAATGTGTAGCGAGCGTAAGTTATCGATGAATCTGGCCAAGACGCTTAACAGAGACGGGATCCATGACTGAGCTGTTTTCTCTCGGACTCTATGGGTTAATTTCCGTTTTTCACCAAATTCACCGTTTGAGCAAACAAAACGCGCTTTGAGTGGGAGATCGAAACTGTCCCACAATCACAACCCTCAGTTTTGCATTTTTTTAAATGTAGTTTCAAAGAATAAAGCAGCGACATTAAACCATAAAGGAACAAAGATGCTTGGTTTATCTCGTTTGTGGTCTAATTCTGTTTTGTTTCTGTAACTTATACCACACTAAAAGAAAAACATTTTTTGTTATTTTTGTCGATTGCCGACTCTAATCTTTTAGTTTCAATATTGATGCTATGGTCCAACGAAACTGTTTAAATATTTAACTACAAAAGAAATATGATCGCTACTGAACTGAATTGAAGTGGAAAAACACTGAAATCTAGCTTTCCAAAGCAAATTGTAGCCTCTTGAAAACAATCACGGTGAATCTTAGACGAGATTTATAAACTGACCTGAATGCTTTGCTTGATATTGGCTTATAGCACGCGCTAAAGATTAAACAACACGTTCGATTTTCCTATTAAATGACACAAGATCATGGTAATCTAAAAAACTGTTACCTGCTACTGTTTTCCGAACCTTCTAGAGTACTTCTTTCATACTGGGTCTTAGAATGGACATCTAAACAAGTGCCGTGAAGGAAATAACACGCCAGACAAAACATCGAAATCCCATAAAAAAAACTCATAAATCACTGTATAGTTTTAAACGAAAGATCAATCAATATCACTATTTACCTCATCTTATAGAATTTTGAATCCAAGCTGATCTAGACGGGAATGGTATTACTTTTGATCGTGAAAAATTGCTGACGGTTTAAGTATCCCATAAAAAAAATCAGAAGGACAGTTGAATACACAAAAAAAATGTCCAACGCACACAGTTGATATTTCCTGTACATTGTTTTATCTGCATGAAACAGCACCGATTTTCTTCTCCAAGCAGTACAACACCACATAATCACCTTACACACATAGTACGAGACTATTTACAATAGAGTTTTTACTAGCTTTAAAATCCCTCTCTCTGTTATTTCTATGCTGGTAAATACACGCGATTTCTACTGAGCAAATAACCAAGATCGAGTCTCGGTTTTGCCTTAGCAAGCATACAATTTACGGCATGCATACTTTTTTCAGAAAGTATTTGCAAGCTTTCCACAGCTTTATTTCGGTACCTTTATACAAGCCTTATTCTCTTGCCTCCTAAACTGAACATTGCATTTCTTAAACCTATTTTTGACAAAAGCTATACATTCAACGAACATTTGCTCCCATTACTTGTAAAACAGACTGACTTTTTCGATAAATAATCTCAACTCCGTGCTGCGTTTTCTTAAAATTTGACAACGATTTGTTCACAACAGCGGGCGCATTTTTTGGGAGCAATGTGAATTTTTTACCAATAAGTTGTAGGTTGTATGTAGGAAGAGTTTACGGAGGGAGGATAGTGCAAGTAGTCGCCTTGGTATGGCGACCCGCTTAGATAGTTACACGAAGGACTAACACAACTGCAGAATTGTCCAGAACCATTTAGCAACGCTCCTTGTGAAAGCGGAGAGTACGGTTTGTCCCAAGGTCCTCGTTCGCTAATCTGCTTACGATATTTGTATCTGTGATTCTGAAACCAAATTTTCACTTGGGCTGGTGTAAGATTTACGATTCTCGCCAATTCCTCTCGTTCGGGCGCAGATAAGTATCTCTGCTGTTGAAATCTTCTTTCCAAGACAAAAGTTTGCGCTTTCGTGAACAACACTCGCCGTTTGCGTTTCTTCAAGTCTTTGTCGGAATGATCCTTTTTGACGGAGTCAAACTGCGAGACGCTTGTTTGTTGGCCGCCTGTGAATATGAAATGAAAGTTGTTCAAGTTAGAGTCCCTTCGATGCGATTTTCAACAGACTACCAGTTACATTATGAAGCCTGAATAATCTATTCTGGATTGCCTCTATTCAGCTTATCTCAAGATTGAAACGCTGAATTTGCTCATTTAAAAGTCCTTGAAGTCAAACAACCTCAAATCATCGAAGTTTAATCACGCTAACAAAAACAGAGTAAGAGTTTTTGAACACAGCCGGCCGAAACAGAACCGGCTCGCAAACTCAAAAGGTTGACAATTTCTTGACATATTTTTCGCACCATAGCAGAATTAATCACTTGAAGCTTTTTCCGTTTCTATTGAGGATATAAGTGGTGGTAGAAACGATGCGCTATTCGCCACAATGCTGAACAACCTCAGATAGTCGCTACTGTATGTTATACGCTTCTGTGATGCACAATATACAGCTTGACAGTTAAGTAGGGCAACTGCGAGATTTCTCAGATATGATGAAGTTTGAAGACCTCGCTATTCTTCACTCTAATGAAGAAAATCCTCGCCCGCTATCTTTCATAATAAACTCTCAAGAAAGTCGGCTTATCTCCTGCGTTGTACTCGACTCTTTTAATAATGTTTTTGAATACGGCGCCCTTATATCTACCATAAAAAATTTTCATGAATGCTAAAATAATTCATACTTGACTTGGCCGTTTCTGGCGCGTTTGCCTCTGGCTCGTCTGGACTGGACAACGTCTGTGGAGGGTAGCTCCTGTCTTGAAATGACATCTGTTCTTCGCTCTTGGAATTCAATGATCGGATTCTGTCCTCTGGAAGATTAAGAATGTCTCTTATGGAAAAGGATCCCATCCTCACGTTTCGTGTAAACGGTCTCAAATGGGTCCCATTGTGTTGGATGCTAAGATAACAAGATTTAAAAGCAGGTCGCACGCACAGGGCAGGCCGGTCCTAGAACATAGGGCGGGGCTTCACTTCAAACAAATGACAGGCCATTTGAAATAAAACAAATTGCCCTGAATGTCATCAGGCTGTTTTGTTAAGAGAAAGCGCCCTGACAAGACTGACACATCAACTGATTGCTGTGAAGGCATGACTAGATGCCTGTCACATCAACGGACCTAATGTGACAGCAAGACCATTCTCTAGGCGCGAAAAGTTTCCTTTTTCTTTTATTTCACACATGTTATACCGTGGCATTGCACACTGTTGATTTAGGTTTTAATTGGATTGGCGGATTAGGAAGTTTACGTTCATTTCTGTTGTCATTGTTTCGTTTATTACGCCGTCACGATTTGGAAATCATAAAACCTGTATAGCCATCCCAAACAATTTCTTTTCAATTATTCCCTCTTCCGTTGACAGAAGAGCGACCATGAGGCCTCCTTTGGGAATTAACAAGTGAAGGACCTCAAAGTTTTGTTGAACGTCGATACAATCACCATGATATGCTGCGAAAAGCTCTCATATCTTATTTCAGAGAAGTGACATTGTAAACATTGCCTCCTCTTGAACATCTCAGGAAATTAGAAGTGTTTTGCAGATCGCCCTCCCAAGGACAGAATAACATTCTTCACTGTTGACATTTTACCTTGAACTTTTTGCCATTCAAACATATGTCCACCCACGGGTTAAATGTGTCAGATTATTTTTATTTCTCTTGCAAAGTATTCTCTGTACAACGTTGTATTCTTTTTACTGACTTATTCATGGTCGCTCTATTGGACTAATTTATGTTAAAATCTAATTGTTTTCACACACTAATTTTGTATACAGTTCGTCGGGTGAGTGAATTGTCTTACTCTTTTTTTGTCATGAATTAATAATAAGCCATGCTCTATTTTACCAGCAGAGCTACTGTTTTGCACAATAATTGAAATTAAGAGAAAATCTGCTAGAAAATGTTTTGAAATTGTCAGGTTTTGTTTCTATAACATATGTGCTATATAGTTTCACACAAAATGACCAAATATGGAAACTTTCACAAAAGTTTATATGGATATATAGCGTTACGGTCCCTTTTCTTGCTTCAAATTCGGAGATTTCAAAAGAGTATATTCCATTTTGAACAAAGACATTCATCCCTACAGTTAATGGCTGGAGAAAAGTGAAATTTGGCCTCGAAAACTGTAAGTTTTATTGGATTCTCTGTGGGCTATTATCATATCTCATTGGAAATTGTTTATTGTGTTACTTTATAATGACTACCCTCACTTCGTCTCTCTCATTGTATATACCAACTATGTCATTCAATTTTATTTCATCCAAAAAATGACCAGCCTAGTCGCAGGAGAATAGTTAAAAATACCCCCCTTTGTGCAAGATTCATTCCTTTAGATCGAGGATGAACGAAATCGCGTGGCAGTGGTGGTGCATTGTCCAGTGTTCGTTGAATTATAATGGCTAATGAAAGAACGAAGCAACTGAAAAATCACACGGGTTTATTGGAATTCCTTTAAAGAACTGGATACATTTTTGTTTTGAACAAATTTTTGTAAAAAAAAAAAAAGCGTCGAAATTTTGATTATTTCACAGATTTTGTTATGGCTTTGGATTTATGTTGCATTGACTACGTTTAACGGCATCACAAAAGTTTCGCGCTTGTGGCGCTACGGTTTGTACCAGGTTTGTTTTGGCTACGGAGAGGAGAAATTTTAAGAAGACCAACCTTGTTGCCTCATCAAGTCAGTCCATGTAAGGGGTTATTGATTTAAATAGAGTGGAGAGTTCGATCGTTGTAAAGGCGAAAATTCAACATTTTTCGGTGATAAATCTCGTAACAATGAAAACAAACACGCGGAGTAATAACTCAAATTGATGGGCGGTGTTAAAAAGCGCGTGAAACTAAATGTAATCAAAGTTTTGTTACTTTGTTAAGTTTGGCGGGTTGGTGCTTAAAAATTCTTTTATTTTGTCTAGCAAAATGGCCAAAAAAACATTTAGTTTTCTTGAAGGCGAGATCCTTTGGCTTAATACCTGTTTGTAATATGACAACGAGAGAGGCTTTCAACAGATTTTCAAGTGTTACGCGACCAAATTTTATACGTCTCAATTTCTCCTCCACTACAAACCGTGAATTGAAAATCCTTTAGTCAAGAGCTGTAACCTGATTCCACGAGGGTAAACTTTCAAAGACTCCATATGAAGATTTCGACTTGTTTCTTAATAGATCGATTAAGTTTGTTTGATGAAACGCGCGGTAGAGATTTTCTCATTTAAAATCTTAAGTAAGGCCGCACGTCACAGCTCGCTTGTAATTTGTTCGTGGGACTCTAGCATCAAAATGTTTGCATTAGTTATCACGCTTGATATATCGACAATGCTGGTTTGCTTGTTTTCATTTACGTGAAAGGCTATGAGAGCAAACATTGTGTGGGATTCACTAACAATGCAAAAAAAAACTTTTTCCCTGGATCAACTGACAGATGTGACATTTTGTCTAAATTGAACAATTGCAGCAAGGCAACTAAAGAATTGGCCAAAGAATAGGTTTTAATTCATAGCGAATACATTAAATGATCCCATTATATTCATCGTTAACAAGGGTAGACTTAGTTTTTGAGAGTATCTTTTAGTTATGACTAAAATTTCTAAAGGTAAGTTGTTATTCTGTGCACGCGATTTATTAGGGCTAGTCAAAACTTAGGAGTAGTTTCCTTTGAGTGATCGATAGGGGGTTCAATCCATCTCTTCAATAACCACAACATGTTACCCGTACAAACAAAATTTTCTTTGTTTTTCCAAAGACGAGTCGTACTTATTTACATACGATGTGACTTCAATAGTTTAGACTTTTCAAGGGATATTTATAAAATCTAAAGAGGCTTCGACGAAACATCACCGTAAACGGCTTAGTTCTGCTTTGTATGCACGCGCGATGATTCTTATACTCTGCACGCACCGAATCTCGTACGCCTTTTGTACAGTGTGCCTCACAAAAAAACATACCTTGTTCCATTTGTAATTCTTCGCACGTGGTAAAAAACTGGAATCACAAGCCTCTCCGTGGGATGTAACGAACAAGAATTTAACTCCGTTCATTAATCTCCGCCTAGTTTGTTTCTTTTTAAATTTGCACGAATCAAGCATCTTTGATGGATTCTTATACCGGGCTGAAAATGACATGAGCGGAAACACAACGTCTCTCCACTTAGCAATGAAGATGGTTCTAATGAAATAGATACAAGGAGATGTTTGACTATCAGAAACAGGACGCTCTGTTGTTTGCTCATGAGACGATCCTTTGTGACAATTTACCTCAGCTTTCATATTGTTAAAATCATGCAACTTAGAAAGGAATACATCCGCACCACCGACTCTCTGTACATAACGAATCCGGCATTTTCGGACCGTTGTCAAATTTGTAATTACGCCCGTTCATTCCGGAAAGGTTGAATAAGTGAACAAAATATGCGTGATCTAGTGCAGTTTTGAATGATTTCTCCGGCTGGTGAAACGCACTTTAACTACTCAAATTAAAAGGACGGAGAAGTGGCATGAGTGATCATTTCTTACTTGACTCTAAATAGCTGACGTGACAGGCCATAATTTGGGTCGATCGACGAAACGGATTATCTTTTACGTTCCCAACACCGTTTGACCTGTATTGTCGTAAAAAGTGAACGAATCAAGAAAAATTGTTCCCTAAGGCAATGAAAGGTTAATTTTTGAAAAACGTAAAAGAAAAAAAAAAAAAAAGACGATTTATTCCTGAGACAAAATCAACAGGAATTCTAATTTTTGTCGGTTGTTTTGTAGGTCACATCAAACGTGTATCACTGAAGACACTGGGTCGTGTTGTTTCCTATGTTTCTTCATCTGGGAATAAAATTTCTTATACCCTAAAGCTAGGAATTATTCACGACCAGGCAGTTCTAGTTTAGTTCACCAGCAAAAAAAGCTTCACCGGGTTCTAATGAATACAATGTGTTTTACCTGGTTAACGATATATTTTCGGTCACAACCAGCTGTTCCTTTTGACTGAAAACAGGGCAAGAAACCATTTCAATTTCCTTGAAATTAAACACTTTGCTCCGGTTGGGAGGAATTACTTTTACCCCAAATTCTCACAACACTGTCCAAGCAAAACTACTGAACTATCCCATCCATAAACACATGGTTTTGGCAAGAATTTTTGTCCAAGTAATTTTGTAAGTCTACCCCATAAAATATTGATTTGCTTCACCGCTGTAAAACGATATGGACTACTGGATACGACAGAGAAAAAAATATTATTTGCATCTCGGTTCAAGTTCGGTTTTTATAAATTTTAATCCATTTTAGCGTAGTATAGTTATTCCTTCGAGGTAAAGCTGTCTTTTTCCTCGCAAAAGAGTTTTAAAGTAACACTTTTCTTAAGTCATTTGCTAATTTGTTTCTTAAAATTACTTTCAATGAAATGTGCAAGTCAAGAAGTAAGTATTGTATTGTTTATGAAATTTGCACTCGAACGTACAGTCTGTTGTTGCGCACGGCATCGCTACTTCATCTTGTAGTTAAACCAAATTCACGGAAGCAATGCATTCAACCACGCAGCACTTGAAGGCCCTCGATGTGTTTCAAGAGTTAATGTTAGGGTAAAGCCTTTACACGCTGTTGAGATCTGAAGATGTTTTCATCTTATAAAACGCAATGGATCTCTTGAAAGGCTTTCAAGCTACGCTCTCATAGCCCAAGTGGGCGGCCCTTTTGGTGTAATACGATCGCCTTATTGCGATATAGCCATTTACTGAGTGGTTTTTGCAAAACCGTCGAATTTTTTTAACACTAATTAGTGGTTGTTTGGAGGAACGGGTGCTAATGGTTCAGCCGGTAGACAATAAAAATTCGCCGTTCTTTTTCATGTTGTCTGTGCGCCTCTCTCGTTTAAACTGCTTTTTACTGTAGGAAAAACAGGAATTATTCATTCCTTACGATAAAGGGAGAAAAAGAAAAGAACAGAGAATAAAGGAATCAGTCTATCTCAAGGCGTAAAATTTTAATCCTCCCTAATTGAACTGTATTAGACGTTTTAGGTTGTAATGTTTATTTATGAGCCGCGCATTGTTGAGTTTGAATGTCAGTCAGTCAGTTGTACGGAACACGCGAAAAACAGAACACTTTTGTGTGTAGAACTTTCTATTGATTCATGATATTCACAGAGCTTAAATTAGAATATCTTTGCCCTAATGCTATAATGGTCTGCCTGTCGATCACCGAGTGACACGAGCAAACAGTTTGTTTGAGTTAGTTGGTTGTTAAGCAAACACGTTTAGCAACGTAATACCTCCTTGTACTTCATCTCTCCGACTGTAAAATATTTATGAGTTTGTGAAACGTTCGATCATCCTAAATTTGCGCTAGTTTTTCATTCTCCCTCTCCGACATAGGAGTGAGGCGTTAAGAACCGTCTTTTAAATTCGATGAAGGAGACGTATCGGGAACTAAATGAACACCAAAAAATAAGTCAGCTGAACGCATTAGGAAACAATGAAGAGGACTCGTTTCACACGAGGAGGCTGAAAGAAAAAAAACCTTTTCCTGTTAAGTAGCCAATATCTTAAGTACTAAGAAGGTTCTTAGCAGGTATTGGCACGAGCCTTTGGTGGAGGTCGAACAAATGGGTGTTAGAGAATCTATTCAGGGCGCCTGTTGTTTCAAGACTTCCCATTCGACCCCTACGCAGCTCGCCGCGTGCTAAACCCTCACCGGGCCGGCGTAAAGCCAAGATCTGGTGGTAATTACAACTCTTGGAACGTACCTGTTCCTGTTGAAAAGCCTCAACCAGTGCTCTCATGTATAAGGAAAATACTGTAGTTCATGCAGGACTTCGGTAATTTTTCCCTTTGTTCAAAAGATCGCATTTATAATGCCATCGTTTCAATGACAATGCGGAAACGCTTCGCAAACTACTACTCAGTGGAGTTCACAGTTAATATACTCAGTTTTCGCTCAAGGACGGATAAGTCCTTTAAGTAAAGGTTTAAGAATTGTCTTTCAGGTGTTCTCTAGTGCTATTTACTTTAGGAAAGACGCGAACTCGTTCTGTTAAAAAAAAATTATAAAACTGCTCGGATATCAATGTCTGTCCAGCTTTATTTATAGCGCACCCATTGTAAGACGAAAGAAAACTTTTTATTCCTTAATTCTTTTGTGAAAGTTCTGACGGTTTGCGCCAACCCAACGTAAACATTTGGCTTTTTAGGAAAGATATTAAAATGCAACTGGGACTCATTAACGAAGCGTTTACAACCCCACAATCAAACGAACATTCACGTAATTAAAATGTTGACAGTGTCCAAATGCTCCTCGTACAATATGTAGAAAGCCATTTGCTGAACAAGCTTAGCAGCCGGTAGTCTTGAGAGAGCGGCGCACTGCAAATAAGCAACCACTTATAAAAAGTGGTATTTCTCAAGAATTCAGTCTATAATAAAAAATATGTAATAAAAACAATAGTATATAACACCTTCCAAACACTCAAACGTGTGCGTGATATCGTAAATAGGTTTAGACGAAAATAAGAAGGAAAAAACATGGAAAGCCGGGGCGATTAGCAAAGGTGCAAATTTTTATAGATTTTATCACTAATCCAACAGTTCTCTCTTCCGATCGACCATTAGCTGGTGTTCAACCTTTCAACTTCGATTACAACGATATTTCAAAATGTGAAGAGGCGTGGATAAGGCTACACGAGCTGAGTCCTTGAGACATTTATATGGGTCGCAAGTTGAGGAAGTGTCTTGAAATTAGTTTTGGACGTCAGAACTCCAATAAAGTGACCCATTCAAGAGAAAGCAATGATTGTTTGAGTTCTAAGCGGGGGGAAACAAGCAGTCGGGTCAGCCCGCCCAGCGTGACATGTCAGATGAAGCCTTTTAGGGCAAATCTGTCATTCGAAAGGGGTTTACGTGTGACAGGGCATTCAATTGCTATCTTTCTAATTAATTGTGATGTCAACTTCGTCACCACCTTAACCTATCAATAGAAGTCGACTTACGCGAATTTGGGCAACATTTGTTTAATGTCAAACATCTTGTTCAACACTTGAGAGCCTGGGCACGCCCCAAAGTATAAGAAGTTTGGCTGCGAACCGCTTCGGATCGAGTATGACTGAATTGCGACTGTGTTTGGCTTTGTAATGCCACTCATCTGAAATCCATGTCCGCAATCGATCGATCTTACGACATGACTTCGTTCTCCGTCAGAGACATTCTTAATTTACCCGACACCGGACTATGCCCGTCTAAAAGCGAAACAACCCATGAATCGTCCTCAACCGAGAGTTATCATTGCCCTGGCGGAAACACTCATACTCCGTCATGTGGCTCTGTAGTGTGTAATCAAGGCCAAGAGTACTCATATACAAGTAAGAATGAACTTGATTTTGTATCTTTGATCGAGCGAAAAGTAAACGCCGGTATTTATGAAGTGCTAAACTCGATAGATGGTAAAAATCTCGCCGAAGTTCTCGAAAGAGTTTATTTTGTTTCTTCTGTAAACTACGGGCGACGCGACGGATTTTTCGCATACAACCGAATTTCTTTTCCGGAAAACATACAATGACGCGTTTTACGAGGCAATTGCAAGCACGACTGAAAGATGACTGCAATTTCAAATTTTAATTGAGTGAATGCCATATTGCTTCTAGTTTTGAAGGTTGTTTTCTTTATGTGCCTCGTGTAAGGGACAACAGGCTAATTACTGTGGCTTACAGTTCACCTAATTTCTTACAACTTCGCAGCTCTTTAGTTGTGTCGTAGATATCGTTACATAGGCGAAACATTAATGAAATTTTTTGTTTTTCCGCCGTAACAGATCCACATCCGAGCCCGACAGAAAGGCCTTCGACATCCTCAGCGGGCTCCCAAGAAATATCTGAGCGAGAGGAAACGCCAGATGACTTGAACGATCCGCCAAAAAAGCGGAAACGAAGAGTTCTGTTCACCAAGGCGCAAACTTATGAACTCGAAAGAAGGTTTCGTCAACAAAGGTACCTCTCCGCGCCGGAGCGCGAACAGCTCGCGAGAATAATCAATTTAAGCCCGACGCAGGTGAAAATTTGGTTTCAGAATCATCGATATAAATACAAGAAACAGAGTTTTGAAAAAGGAGTTATGAATGAAGGACCTCCATTGTTCACCCCAAGAACTGTTCCTGTGCCTGTCTTAGTGCGAGATGGCCAGCCTTGTCATGGCGCTTCGGTCAATAATTTTGGATATTTACGGCACGATCCTTCAGACTTCTATCATTTTCCTGCAGTAAGTTCATCATACATTCCTCCTAGCAATCCTTATTGGAGCTGGTAGCATAAGCATGCTTTGTACAACGTGTGTTGGGAGAAGAATCCACAGAACAATGCAGATCTCCTTGAAATAATCTGTCACGGAGAAAAGAACAAAGTCAATTGTAAGCTTATAAGCCAACATTGATTTCAAAAACCTACGAGGGCAAAGGATCTCATTATTTAAAGAATCTAACAATTTGTCCAGGTTTGATGTTTTTATTAGATGTTCTTAAATTTCTTTGGAGTTCTCTTTCGACAAACGCGCAGCAAAGGCTATTTTCGTGTGATATAACAGCTGTTGTCTTTTACGTCTCAGAAATGATTGAAAAGATTTTTGTTTTTATCCTTTAAAAATTGTAAGAAACCAGATTTTTTTAGCAAATGATTTTGTAGATGTTTCTTTTAAACGAAAATTTTTGATTTCGTAGTTATTTTTGTACTATAAGTTGCTAGGTTGCTTGAAAATTGTTCCTAATGCTTTTAGTAAATGCATGTCTGAAATTATGAAGATGAAGATAAGAGCTCATCATTTTTCAGGAGATAATCCTTGGCAAGGTAAACTTAAATTCTAATTACAAATCCTCTCGTTTTCACTAAAATGCTAGTTATTTGAGTTTGGCGTAAACGTCGGTAGCAATTAGTTAGTTTTCTTCGCCAAAGCAGCTTTTCGTTTTACCGCACGAATTGTCACAAAACATTACAACCGCAATGCTGGGCGCTCACGAATGAGTGAATCAAAATTGACAACGCAATATTTGGCAAACAACACGTCTCGTTCTACTTAAAGGATTTTATGAGATGTTCTCTAACACTTTGACACACAATTTTCGCACTTAACCCGGAGCCTGCTTTTGTAAAACCAAACAACCGAAGAAATTCTCTCATTAAGACATGAAAGTACCAGTTTTTGTTTTCATTTTAAAGTGAAGATGGGGAAAAGGTTGTTACGGGCTTTGGTCACAATGTTTAATGGACCGTGGAATCAGCTCGTAATTGATTGTTGTTCGTGTTTACTCGATGAAAAAAGAGGAGTGGTCAGTGTAATTTCTTAGAATGGATCTTTACCAAATTGAATCAACGCTAGTTTGCCTTCGGATTAGCTCAAAAGAAAACAGTGACAATCGACAGACATCACAAGCAAATCGTTTCGATATCACAGAGTTTGAGTCAATTAGAATAAGTTATGCAATTTGAAACTTATAATACTTCCTCTATTTTGAATTACAACCTACACTGTACTCAAAGTTAAAGGTAAAATTGGTACTACGCTTCATTTTATTGAGAGCTTCAAGTCGCAAATGGAAAAAAAAAAACGAGAGAATCGAAAGAAAACACTATGAATAATACATTACCCACTGTTTCACTTATACCTCTTTGTTGAAAAGTGTTAATAAATTAGGGAAACAAAAACATTATGTTGGAATGATTTCGAGTGTTGGAAGCGGGCGTGCTAACGAAGAGCGAAATTTCGAGCACTTGTTTTCTTCTCGAGAGCAATATGTCAAACTCATCCGACTTTTAACAGACGTTTTCACGCTTTCGTAGTCAAGTGTAGCTTTGGCGAGGATGGGAAAAGATAGGTGCAGATGTGTAAAACATAGTTCTTGGTTCGAATTCTTTTCTGTGTGATGCAAACTTGCCTGCTTCTTCAGTTTTCCTACGTATTTATAATTTCAAGTCACTTCACAGAAGGCAAGACTTTCACGAACTCGATTACCTCCGCGCAGCGCGTGTATAAATGAACAAAGTTTTATTTATTTTATTTAACCTATCTCAGTTACAGCTGACTACTTTAAGTAATGGAACACAATTAAACATTGGAAATAAAACGAAACATGAAAGCTCTATGTAAAACGTGCATGTCTCTGTTTAGCTATTTTTAAAATTGACCCACGAAGACACATGCCAATCCGGCCAAGAAGAATCCAGTTTGAGAATGATTTCCAAAGCCAAGCACTTCATTGTAACTGCTTCTTTATTTTATAGATTTGAGATTGTGGCAAACAAATTAATAGCAATCACACATAGCCATATTTTGCAAGAATTATGGCATTATAACTATTCTACCACATAAATATATGGAGATCTCTAACACTGAAATGCATATAACCTATGCAAAGTGCCCCCCATGTTTGAAGAGGGAAACTACTTATATGGTAACTGAGATTTTATAGGGTTGTTTTACGATGATGTGAAAGTTCGTAGATGATGTTTTTGTCTCACTGAAATATGACAGAGACATTTTTTTGTTAATATAATGGACAATGTGTAGTTAAAAGGAGGTAGGCGTCACAGGTGGTAGAGTTGCTTAAGTGACGCGCTGATGTAAAAATGTCTGATATTGTATGAGAAACTCTGGATGGTTCTCTTCAACATTGTTATGTCTTAGTTACTTTTAATCTTTCTTTATCGTCGGATTTAAATGATATCTATTGGCGTTATTCCATTCTTTTCATGAGCTACCAGTTAGGAGCACTTCACACAGCTGGTGGTATGGAATGAAATTAGAGCAAAGGCCACGGAAAGATGCTACATTGTGTGGAGGTAGCGGATATTCAATTTGTTTCTCGGGAAATAAATGGAGGTGTTCCCCGCTTCAACGTGCTTTTATGATTCGTATTGTTTTGGTTGTAACTCATACCTCATCTAAGTATTTATTACAGCTTTGGTATACCGATGGGCGTTTTTATTCCAATCTCAAGTAAATGCAAGAATTAGGTTTATTGTTTAAGGATAATGTTTTGAATTGGAACGGTTGTTGCTTCAACAACTAACAGGGCCACTTAAAAAAATGAAAAAAAAAATTTTCTCTTGAAATATTAAAATGTCTTTAATGCATAAAACGCGGTAGAACCTTTTAAAACAAGGAATCTATTAAAATTAGTTGAAGACCAGTTAACGAAGGTAGTTATGAGAGGAGATGACATCCCACTCGTTTTTGTGTAAGAATTTACTCGCAAAGAAAAAAGAAACGCCGCCGGTCGAACACAGAATGCTCGGCCCTTTTTGTGAAACTTCTTACGCAAAAAATAATTTTGGTTTGTTTTCCCTCGAGCAAGATGGTCAGTAGACGAGTGTCGCGACCGAAGCTTTCCTCTTTATTTACATGTACCAGAAATTCAACGTTTCGCCGCAGAGGAAAAGCTCATTGACTCCACTTAAATTAACACTGAAAATATTCTTAAAATTCGGTTTGAAGTTGTTTCGTAGTTAACTTTAGAACATTATAGTCGAACGGTGATAATATATGAGCTGTCAACTACGCAGACATTTGGACGCATTTTTTAAAGTTACCCCTATGCGTCCCAGAGAACACTACCCTCAAAACACGATCACTCAAATGGCAAACGCTTTTTTAATTTACCTGAATTAGTCGCATAGGTTTTAAAAAAACCATAATTTACCCGCAACTCGTATTGAAATCACCGGCCGGTAAAGGAGCAACCTACTCGAGTGAAGGAGGTCAGCCTTCACGATACAGCTTCGAGAATTGTTTATTTTCATTCAAGAGACTACAGAGTACCTTCTTGAACATTTTTTTTAAATGAGATTAATGGATTTTGTTTTCTACTTTTTGTTTTGTTTTGTTTGAAACCCATACTGCCTTTTTTTACCATTATTAATGGGTTGTAACAAGCTGCAATGTCGAATGGAACGAAACTAAACCTGTTTTGCATACCATGACATTTCGCTTAATGGACAGTAGAGGAAAATGTGAAAGAAAGCAATAGAATACCTGAATGTTTGGTGACAGAATTACTGTTCTTAAGAGTAACTGAATAAAGCTTTTTTTTTATATATCCACCATGTGTATATCTACACTGAATATTAACAACCAAGTACCGCTACATACTCTTTGCGTTCTCTGCGTGAATCTGCTTCCGTGACGTCTGAAAGCCAAGTTGTGCTTCATGTGTTTGAAGTCGAAGTTCTCGAAGTTGACATCAAGCTTCGTAACAACTAATCGTTGTATAAAGAGAAAGTCAGTTGCGATTTACGAAAAAAGGTGAGGCTTGTGTATGTCTTACAATTTGAAAGTAGTTTTCCACAAAAAATTATCGATTTACACTTTCAAGGGTGAAACTGATCTTTTCAATTACTTTTAAGACCACTCCTACAAAAAGCAGATATGAGAATTATTTCGTCTTAAAACTAATCCTGTAATCTCCATCCTTGCTCTCCAGCACCCTGGTATCAGTTGCTGATCCTTTTCTTTGCGTTCTGAAATTTAAAAGCGATAGTAGATTATGTAAATAAACAAAGCCTTCAGATGACCGACTTCCACACCCGCAGGATTTGAAGATGACGCTGTTACTAATGCAAAAGTTGTAGCTCTAAATACATTGCATTTATCATCCTTTACAATTTCTACTTGGAAGGCATTTCCGTTTTGTTTGAGATTAAAAATGAAAGAAGACAGCTAACTAAATAGAAGCAAAGGAAAGTTTATTTGAAACTTACAGCAACGCTGCATTGCGATTCGACCCAAAATATAGTCGTCGCGGAAAGTTGATGCTCATTTCAGACTATCCTATGGGTTTAAACTTAAAAAACTTCCACTTATTTATTGCTCGATTTCTAAGTCCGTGGTATGTCTGTGCGTCTGTTTTATCTCCATCTCATTTATTTATAAACGGGGCTTTAGACTGGTGAACCCAGGGTGATAGACTTGCCCTACAATTTATTACTTAAACTTTAACTTGCCACGTATTACGGCAGGAAACTAAACTGAAGCACAGCAACTGTTCTTGGTTAATTTCAATGGCGCCAAAGTGTCTGTAAAATGCACTCAGAGCAACAAGCCGAGAGCCACCTTTTAAGAGAAAAATTCGATGTTTATCTCATTTTAAATCCCAATTTCTCGCTATTACATGGATCTGGTTTCTCGACCGGTGCCATTTGACAATAAAGGAAGTATTAATGCTTCTGTTATCAGTCGCTTTTCTTAAAATTTCAAAATAACTTAAGGGCTGCAACGAGCGAAGCCTTTTTTGCGACCATGAAACGAAGCCGCCTTCTAAAATATAATCTACAACGATGGCTTTGTCCTGATGCAAGAGGCACCTCCTTCTTCAAAGAGAAACTACTACAAGTCTAAATGCGCTGCGGCTTCTTAAGAAAAATGGTTTTGCGGTCAAAAAACTTACTATGATAAAAGGAAAGGCTCCAAGCTGAGCAGGTATATTAGTATCGATGTTCACACGACCTAAGCAAAAAAATTATCGACACTCACTAGTGAAGGATGACCTCTTTATGAATTTAGGAAACAGAAGTGAGTAAGCTTGTTAGTAGCTTAGCGGTTTGTCTTTTACTTTCTAAAACCGGTGACATGGCAGAAACACCGATGAAGCGTCGTATGTTATTTTGTCAAGCGAAGTGGCCTGTAACAATCCAATTTTCATCCCTCGAAAAAAAATCACACATAGTTGAGTGTTATTACAGTAACAGTTAAAACGGTTGAATCTAGTGACTTGATTTTTAAGAGTTTTTGATTGTAATAAGTGTTTTAAAAAGTCCTTGAATGTTTCCATCAGGATGCTTTTTTATGGTCACGGAAAATGTAAAATTTCTCCTTGCCCCTTAGACCGTCGCCATCAGCTTTGGCTGTTATCTTCCCATAACAACCAGGCTGTAGGGGATGAAATATATAGGGGCAGGCATGGTTCACCAAACATGCTTTCGTTTTCATCTCAAGAGTGAATATTGTATGCAGAAGCTGTATAAAAAAAACTAGTCAAAGGATATCCACTCGACCTTTCACAAACTGTAGTGAATTGCGGATTTCTGGTCACTTTAGTCATGAATGCTTAATGCTATGAGAGGGTTTCGGATTACGTACACTTAACGTTTAATAATTTGCTTTTGAAGAGCTCACGTGGTTTCAGCTTCTAGAGATAAACTTAATACGCCATATGTGCCAGAACTGCGTTTAATTCGTATCGTATAATATTGCCAGGGATGCGATAAAAGAATTAACAGGAAGAAGATAACAAGAAGATAAGTCTTTCCCTCCGCGCACTGGATGTGCTTGTAGGCGCGGCATGTAAATTTTGGTCTTCAACAGGAAATCTTCCTACCTGTTTGTAAATGTTTTTAAAGAGCCAGCGTTTGGAACTGTTCCAGAGAAAGAATCCCTTGTAAAGCTTTTGAGGTTCACAAGTGCTAAGTTTAACCACCTGATTTGAAAGAAAGCGCAACCAATACGCCATTGTTTAAAGTAGACAGCTGATGTAGAAGCTGTATGTAAATGCAAACATGGCCGCAATAGCAAAATTAAAATGAGCACTTTTTGACGCGCTGATAAAACAAACCGTAAATAAATAGAAAATTGAAATTAGGGATTGCACCGCGAAAGTTATGAAAACTTCAATTTCGGTAAAGAATCGTATCAATTGTGGTGCTTCTCAGATGATAAATGGCTGCATACTCGTATCTGTAAGCTGACTACCATGGAAGCGCAAGTTTATCTTCCAGTAGTTCAATTGAAAATGCTTTACACCTCAACTTGTCAAGACTGGTTTTCAAACCCAACAACCCTGTGTTAAGATTCGGCCTCCCTAAATCACTGTGTAGTATCAAAAGTTGGAGAAAACATACTTGAATTAGGATTTTCATTGCTAGCGAAGATGCTGTCTGTAAATTGCTCTTTTCAAGTCGATCAGTAGACGAAGGCGAGGAGAGGCTGACTCAGATATGGCTGTCAGTCCAGAATTAGTTACATTCAGAGCAGCTGGCATTAATATTTCAATAAAATTGCGTCTCTTTCTCCAATGCTCCCGTGAAACTTTAGCCACAGTGCGCGGATATCAAATAAATAAATGTGAAATGATTTTCGTACACGAGGCGTAACTGCCAGGGAACTTTAACTACCGTACTCACTCCCAAATAACTTCCTTTAAAAGCCTAAAATCGAGTCGTTGAGCTTAAGTTAGCTTTATTTTCAATTTGTGCTCTATATTCTGGGTATGCTTTAAGGGATTAATTCACCAGATCTATGGGAATACGACGCTTTAAGCTAATAAGCGATCATGAAATACTCATCATATATATGATCAAAGCAACTCATTGTAGCTATAACACATGCTGCTAACATAATCATGAGCGCTGAATACATGCAGTCAACTTTCTCATGGGTGCTATTTGATTCCTAGTTTATAATTTGTTTGGAATGCCAAACAAGCTAGAATTAGCTACATTTAAAATACAAATTTCTAAGACGCTCTGAATCGAGCATAAATTAATATATGAAAGAGGAATGTTTCATTTCTTTTGCTAAACCGGCATTGTAGGTTGGACAAATATTTAGTCTCTTCGAGCTATATGCTTGGTTTGTTTCAAGCAACAGACTAGGCTATACAGCAATCTGCGATAAATACAATCTAAGGAAAACTCAAACATAGATTTCAACTGACTTCAATAACAACACCAGTGGTTCGCTCTAAATCCAGATAGGGCAACTGAAATGTGTAAATTTCGCTGAAATCGGATTCCGGTCGTACCTTTTATAATCGTTTGTAAATCGAAGCTCTAGTAGAATATTCAGAGAAAAAAGGCATCAATTTATTGGTTTCATCGAAACTAGTTTACAGTGGATGTGAGCAGCGTTCCAGAAAGTCATTCCTCTTAGATGTTCAGTTCTAAAGAACGCCTGCAGCTGCACGTTGTTATTTACAGTGGTTCTTCACCGAGACGCAGAAGCAATGCGTTGTGAGCGAGTGATTCCTTTTGGTGACTGAAAAATTGAATTCCATGTATGTAGTAAGAATTTTGCGCTAAAACCAACCCGTTTTGTTTTTTTTTCACCTAACGACAGAATGGCATGAAATAGGTCACGTTTTTATTGATAAAAATTTTGAACTTGAACCGTGACTGGAATCACGACAATGTGAGATGAAGAGTGAAAGAATGACTTGCCACTTAAATAAATACCTAGTTGATCGAGTTTTCCTCTACATTTGCAAGGCGAATAGATGATGTCCGCTAGAGGTCTAGTAGGCTAGAGATTGAAATATTCCCGAATGTCTCATGATATGGCACAGTGCCGGCCAGTTCAGCTTGGAACGTTATAATACTAGTAAGTGCTACAAACTGTGTCAGTTGCCCTTGGTTCTAGGTCAGTCGTTAAATGTAATTCGAATCTTTCCCTGTCAATGAATGCCACAAAATGTACTATTACCTTCACCTTTTACTGATTTCGCCATGAGCACGCGGCTGCAAAGCTGTTGAAACTCGGTCTAATCAAGAACCAAAAATATCAGTGATATCATCAGGCCTCTGTGCTAAGTCAGAAAGAATTAGTCAATTGTTTAAAGCGGTGCCTTATCTTTTAGCGTACAACAACTCAGGCATAGCACGCGTCGCTGAATGAATTTATTAACTGCAAAGCACTTCACTTGCTTGGAAACTCTGCCTATGAAATTCTATGATGTTCTTCACGTCAAGATTTTCCATAGAGAGATAATTTCTCTTGTTTTTCGACCCGTATTACTTTTCATTTAACCATTTAAAATCACGAGAGATAAAACACTTCAGAGATATGCTCGGTTATGAATTCAAGAACAAAAAAAGGCGGGTCATAATATTTTTTTTTGAAAAGTTTTCTTTAGGTGGAAATAAAACCTTGCTTCAAGTTGGCAAAGTTTGGACTACAATGCAAATAAAGTGAAAGTTACTTCCGATATTTCCCTAATAAGGTTTAACCAAGTAATCAAGACATGAGGTTCCATGTCTTTTTATTTGCTCTGAACACATTTTCACCCACAGATTCATTTCCTTTGACAAGTTTATCCTTTTGGTACCCCGCTTTATCTATGAAATAGAAAGTGTCTTAAGCGTTCACGTTATCTGTTTATAATACCGCGAGTATTTTATGGCGCGCTTGAAATATCTTTATGAAGTTTTCTGTTTCCTTGTTTGCTTTTGGTAGCAGAATTCTTATGAGAACATGGGAGCTGTTCACAATGGAACTGAACATCCAGCCTTGCTATTCAATAACACGTTCTTCTTTTTGTCTGTCTGTCGGAAGCACATTAGAACAAATTAGAACGTTAGGTAAATGGCATTTCTCACAACATTGATGTCTCAATACTTCAAGAATCTGAGAGCTCATAAAAGCAATGTTGGAACCTTTGTTCTCTGCAGACAAAATCGCATGTCAAGTGTCATCATTTTCCATGAATGAAACTGGCGGTCAGTTTGCATGAAGTTTAATTAGTTTTCCCCCAGTTCATAAAACTGGTTTGACAGCCCAAGTGTGTGTTTTTCATCTGAACCGGGCATAAATGACTCCGTGTTGACAACTGCGCTTGTCCAATGCCACGCGTTCCATATATTGTTGTCCATGGACTTCATCTGTGTGAATAAAAACGAATGAAAGTTAACACATTGCCCGTACGTGTCAGCACAGGTGAAGGCAGGCAGATTAAACAATGCCACATTTATTACAAACGCGAAACAATTTCAATTCTTACTGTTAATGAGAAAGCGCTTTATCGTCCAGCCGGCTGAAAACCAAGGGAGTTTGTCCCACGCAAGTTTAATCCTTCTTTCTATTCTAACTTTGATTATTCCCTAAGCTTTTCAATCAAGGACTGACCTTAAGAAAACTCCTTAACAATAACATAAGTCTCGAGGAAGTGCAATAATTGTAAAAATTCTGTATGTTCATCCCGGGAACCCTCAGTAAAATTTGGAATATTAAGGTGCTTAATACCAAGGTTAAAGTTGTTGCTGTTCGTATTGACAAAACTATTACCTCTCATGTACATACACTTAAGGTATAGAATTACACAAGTCTGGCGAAAGGAAATGAAAAAAAGAAATCTAATGAATAAGGCTTTTTTTCATCTTTAAAATGCAGTAATCACATGACGGCGGCGATAAAAAACCTTAACTTGAAGTGTACGTGCAAGCCACGGCAAGAGGTGAACTAATCTCACATATCGGGCTGAAAAACTATGCAAATATGAACGGAAAAGCAATTAAATTCATTATGAGACAACGTGGATGATAGCAGCTGGTTGAATATATAGTCAAGGGATATCCTTAAAAAGAGAATTTATACCAATATTTTGGTTTTTGCTTCTTCATCCAAGGATTAATTCAAGCTGAACTTTTTACTCAAGTCTGAGGGTAATATTATACAATAAAAACCGATCATAACCTATACTAGAACACTTTATTGTAGTAGGGGGTTGTAACGTTTCAAACCAAGGATAAAACCTTTGTGTGTGACCATTCTAATGAAAGTTACTAAGCAGTAGATTCATGTGGTCGTGTTTGTTTTACAGTACGAGGTGGTACTAGCTTGCACGTTTGTGTAACAAACCCCACATAGGGCGACTGGTTCATTCAAATGAATCAAGGCTACTTTGGGTTACATTCTTGTGGCTTTGATTGTTATGCTGGGAAAGGTGGTTGGAAATTTTAGCGTGTAAATGAAAGCTCTCGATCTGAGCACGTACTGCCTTAATTAAACTTTACAAAGTATTCAGACTTTTAGTCTGTTGATAAAACCTTAGTGTATGTCAATCAAATGGAAGCTGGTCTGTTCATTTGGTGCTTTTTTTCTTTTTGCTGCACAAGATGGCCCTAACTTTATGTCTTTCGATAAAACCCTAGCGTGAGACATTCAATTAAAAGCAATTGGGGAGGTTCTCATATGGTATTGTTCATTACTCAAAACGAGGTTTCTCTAACTCTAATACCTACAGGTTCGTGAGGAAAATACTACAGATACAAAGAGTAGTAATTTCGTGTGGTACTTTTGTAATATGCTGTGCATGGTGGTTTTGTAAATTTTAAGCATCTGAATGAAACCCTCCTCAGTGACCGATTAGAATGATTTGTAACGAACAATGCCTGCGCGGTGTAAGCAAAAGTATCTCTAACTTTTGAGTTTTAGCTCAGAATTATTTTGCCAGGGCGTGAACATTTCAGTTGTAAATTTTGAGGAGGTACTTTTGAAGTTTTTAATTTTTTTTGTCATTAATATTGTGTTTTTTTAAAACTAGTTTGGAGGTTGTGAGCAGTCTGTTCAGAAGTATGTCTTTCTAAACTCTATTTTCCTTGACAGTTTCTTTTCTTGACATATTTTTTTTATTAACTATAGAAGTTTATATTTCCATCAAATACAACCCATTTATTGCATACGTTATGGAATAAAAATAATTGAAACACCTGAGGACGACCGGAAAGCTTTCAAAATCATATTGTGGGAAATTAACTTTCAAAAACCCCTTAAAATTATTGGTGGATCGCGCTCTAAAAAAAAGTTAAAATAAAAATTAACAGAATGTTCACGCAATTTAATACGTGCCAGTTCCTTCCCGTCTGATGGCTAAAAATTCACAAAAACCATACAAAAATATATTCACAAAGGTGACCCTGTTCTGTTCTTTGTGTCGAACACGGGTCATGGTGGCAGTGCAGTAATAAAGGTACAATGTTAGGGGTAATCTGCGATGATTGGACCCTTAGCAAGTTGAAGGTTGAAACGTCAAAGTATTTGTAAGTTTGGGACCACCCGCGTTGTTTTGAACAAAAGTTGAGCTTTATTACAACACAGTAGCTGTCCAATTCCTGACAGATAAACGGGGATAACTTTCTTGCTGTATTCTGACCTAAATAGCAGATAACAAAATACTAGAGGTAATTACTTTCGCAACAAAACTATATCACAAGGCTTCTATCTCGGATGGAATGACAGATTTGTTTCGCAGTCGCGATAAATTGCTTCCTTTAATTCCACGCCAAAATTACTTTTGATTAAAGCATGCGACTTCTAGATGAATTTTTCTGACAGGAAGTAACGTGAAAAATATTCATCCTCAATCATTTTCATCCCCAGGAAACGACAACTCAATTAGAATAACTCTTGAGTACGACACCTGTGGGGTACAACGTAATCCAAACTCGAGGCATGAGAGAGTCCCCCGTTATCACTGATTAGATGTTGTCTTTTTCCCCATCGCGGATACGAATGTATGAGATCCAGAAGGTAAGATGTTGGCAGTTTTAGCAGAGCCCCTTTCGCCTTTTTCTTTGAAATCAGTTCTTCCAAGATCATAGGACTTGTTATAAGCACGGCTGGGACTATACCACACCGCAGCCGGATCTGGTTTGTTATCTCATTTGGTCGATCATCCCAATCAGCTATTTGAACGTTTGACAAATTTGACCGAGTTCTTCATTTGTAATTTATACAGGTGTATTGTCTGTAAAAAATTGCATGGATCCCTCAACAGACTCCTTAAAATAGGTACAAGATAACAAAGTATAACTCACATTTCATTCCATAAGCTCCACAGCAGAAGAACACCCTAAAAAATTTTCATGAAAATGTTCGATTTGGTGTAAGAGTTTCAGATACTTAAGGGTTATGATTCAAGTGCTGTTAACGTTCTCAATATTTTGAGAAAAATCCTTTTCAATTAAATTATCAGATAACTAAACATACCCTACATCTCTTATACTCATTCTTCAACAATCCAGCATGTGCGGTCTGTATGCATGGACATGCGACTCCGTTTAAAGTTTGTTTTGTTTTAATTTTTTTACGCTTGAATAATTTCCGGCTGAAGTGATATCCCAGAGGGTGAAAACCTCCAAATTGTTTCTGAGAATTAGCAGGAGAGATTTTACTACTTTCAGCTCAAACCATTTATAATCACCGGCTCCCTCGAAGGGATTTTCTAATTACCAAGAGCCCAGACTTCATTGTAAATGAAACAATTTGAGGTGGAAATAGCAAATAGATTTAGTGTGAGGTCAATCTTATTTCGGAAGTTCAGACGGTAAGCCTTTAATCTCCGAGCGAAAAATGTTCTTTTGGCATCACCCTTCGCTCATGCAGTGTCAAGAAAGCTTTTCGAAAACCATAAAACACACTGATTTGTTTGAGTTTAGCCATAAAAGATATTTTGATGACAATATCTGCTTTGTGTCATGATGAGGCGCCAAATTGTTTTCCTAGTGCGTTCGGGTCAAAAAGTTAGTCCGGCCCACTATTAAAACTAGAAAAGGCTCAGACAAGAGGCGTGGACTTGATAAAGAGAACCTCAAAATAATTACCTGGCGTAAATTCTCATTTAACCGTTCTTTTCTGCACTGAGATTTTATCTCAAGCTTATGGAGAGATCACCGAGCTTGAACGAGGTTCTGGTTTGAAGAAAAAAGACTTGAAGACGTGGGAAATGATTCCGTGATATTTGCTATCGCTGACAAAATCAAAGTCATCGCAATTCTGCCCACTTGTCAAAAACGATAGTAGATGACGCCAAAGAGCTGTCCTTGTGACCTTTAAAGATGAAACTGAGATTTAGATTAACAACGAAAAACGAGGTAACGAAAACAATAACTTAATTGAGTAAACTTCATACTCCTCGATGAACTTCTACCTCAACGAAGAATCGAACTGCATGCAAAGAAGGTTTTTTTGGGGGGCAAAAATTTCTCTAGGTCGATTCATTGTGATGTGCGGTCGATACCATCAGTGAAATGAAACATTGACAGAAACAGGGTCTATACATGCGCTGTTGAAGGTCACAGAAACATCTTTGTCACTTTGATAGTAATCCCCCTAACAGGTATTCAAAACATTTGTGTTTTATTGTAGAAAACCTAGATGTTTGTTGAGGTCAATGTGGCTGTTTCCTGTGTTTTGAGCCACAGTAGATATGCTGATGTCCTACGACATTTGCAAACATTGACAAGACCGCACGATGCTTGGCAGACCTTAATTATACGATCTGTCATATCTTGGAACATTTACAGGGTTTGTGCACCTTACAATCGGAAAAATAAATAGCGTAGAAGCTTACTTTAGTGTCAAGAAACAGTCCGAGAGGTCTTGAAAATCAGGACCACCCCCACAGTTCATTAAATAGTAATCAGAATATAGTGGGAGTTTCAGATACATAAAAATATCAAAACTACCGGCTCTGATCGAAGATTTCTTAAACTTTAGTGATGACCCCTCGAAAAGTTACTCTTAATATTTTGAGATGAATCTCAAACCAGACAGAAATGTTCTCGAGAACAAGACTTAACCGATTTAAGTCATATCTCCTTGAAATATCAACTCCGAATCAAAACAGGTTGAGATGCGTAGCGCTGAAGTAGCTGTCAACAGCTCGTGTTAAGGAATTAAAGAACTGGAAATCTGTTAAAACCTTTTAAGATACGATTTTGTTTTTAGATTTCAAGTCGACGTGAGAGGAGAGAGATAGGTCGTCAAAATGTATTGTGACAGCAGCATTTCAAAGCTTCACCCGTCGAGAAATAACAAAAGAACCTATTTTAATTTTGGCAAGAAAAACACCCATCAATCAATCTAATTTCTGAAGGTTTTTATAGGAAGACAAAGTTGTCAGGCCTGTCGACTCGAGTTATTAGCAATTCAAAATCATTGATTCTTTAATTTAAGCCAAAATCACGTACTGCTTCAATGAAGCAATAACGCAAACACCATGAGCACAGATATTTTTTTTTCTAAAAACGGTTCATTCGTTCCAGCTCAAGAAAACACTGGAAGAAATTGATTTCTAAACGGTTAATTGCTCAAGAGCTAATCCAGTTAACTGTATTTAATAAACAATTCGCCAGCTCCACCATTGAACAATGGTTTTCCCGCCCTCCTCTGCCGAGTTAATTCAATGTTTTGAGAGGCGTGAGGGAAAAAAGGCATTAGGATACGGGAAGTGGTCAAAGATCGTTCAATTACACCAGGATGGCAAAACGCACACCGGATTGGCAGCTCACTAAATGAGATTAAAACCTTAATTGGAATACGCTGCTAACGAACAGATAGTCAAGGAAAAGGCAAGGCCAAGTTAAAGGGAATCGTTTTAAGCCCTATAAAACCTTTGGCTTTGTCTGAACATTTCAATGGCTATCATTTTAATTAACGTACATGTCAAAGGGGTGACATCTTTTTATCACCCTAAATAAATTCTCCTCAAACAGTGAATAATAACATGTGTTCTATGTCAATTCAGGCGAGTCATACATGACGTGTCTCAAGCTCACTCATTAACCAACCCACACATTCCTACCTACTCTTTGATCTGTGTACAGTCAATAGGCCAGCAGCCATCTTGAGTAGCGTCCGTCAGGGCTCGCGTTATGTCTTCTTTTTCCGTGAAGAACATCCTCAGCTTGCCGGAATCGTGTCTTCAAAGCTGCTCCAACGCTTCTCCACGGGTTCCTAACATTTGCCAAGGTGTTAATCTCTCCCCCGATCGTTCTACAGGATCTAATTGCATAATAACGACGATGCCTCCATCCGGTCCGCAAAGCCAAGACAACACTTCGGGTAGGTACAGGGTTTGAGTCTAAATTCTGTTTTCCATGCCACAAATTTCCTCTGAGATTTGTCTGTTTTGAGCGCAGATGACACAGACAAGCGCTTACTTACCTGTCAGGTTATGGTGAATCTCGCACCAGATTGTTATTCGATTTTCGTGACCAAGGACATGAAATGTCATCTTTGTAAGTGAGCGTCATCTGTAGAGAGACGCAATGGAAAGAAACAAGCTTAAGAGCAGCGGTTCCATATTTTGATACTTTTTAAGCCACAGGAGATGAAAGTCGGTGCTAAGCAAATTAAAGATAGGCGCGATTATGCTGAAAATCCTAAGAACGCCAAACTGCCATCATAAATTACGAGTTTTTTTTTTCCCTTGTAGTTTTTTAAACTCATGTAACTCACCTCTTCGGTTCACGCTGCTTTCGATAGCTTTTCTAAGTAAAGAGTAGAAACTTGTATAACATAAGAGTCATTGACTTCGGCTCCGCCTCGCTGGTAGTTTAAAACCAAATCACCTCTTAATCGGTGTTATCGAATCTCATCAAACGCCTTTACCCGCTTTCGTTCGATTAGGTCCTCGACCACATCCTGAGATGAACGAAGACTGTGCAGGGAACGACGTGCTACAGCAAGCTCCAAAAATCAACAGAGATGAGTCTAGCGATGTTCCAAAGAAAAGAAAGCGACGGGTACTCTTCACCAAACACCAAATCTACGAACTGGAAAGACGATTTAGATATCAGCGCTACTTATCAGCCCCAGAAAGGGAACAACTGGGACGGATGATCAACTTGACGCCAACACAAGTCAAAATATGGTTCCAGAATCATCGATACAAGCAAAAGAAGCAAGCAACAGAAGCAGGAGAGTTTAAAGATTCTCACTCGCTCTATCCCAGAACTGTGCCGGTGCCTGTTTTAATCCGCGAAGGTCAGCCATGTTATTCGAGTGATTTTGGCAACTCAGTGGGAAATTACTACCCAAACCAATATCAACCAACATATGACTACTCAAACTCTTACGGGAATTCTTATTCCTACACAGCACCTATTTCATCCATGAACTCGTCCTGCATGCAAGCGTACTCATATTGTAAATGGTAAAGAAAGAGCAGTAATGTTTGATAAACTGTGGAGGAATTATTTCACAATGAATGACTATGCAGTCTTGTTTTGGCCGTTACAAGATGACAAGCTAAACCATGGCCAAGAGAGACCATTGAAACTGTCGATCAGTCGAGAAAACTCGACAAATTTTTTTTTTCTCCCTCTCTAAAACCCATTTTCTGTAGTTTTTGGAAGAGAATCTGTAAAATATCTCCAAGTGCCTAACTGTAATATTGCCGCAATTCTAAGAGTTGAACATTTAAATCGCATCAATTTTGTCAATTACACTGTCCACGAAAATTCAAGTCTGATACTTATACAGGGATAAAACTGTGGCTCCCGTTCGGTGAAGGTGACCAAATTTCTTTTCCTTTTGTTTGATCGTGACATTTTTTGTTATTAGTAGTTAGAAAATGACATTTTGTTTTGCCACTGCCATTAATAGATCTATTCTTCGAGACTTTCTCTGAGTTACTTCTCAAGTCAGGGGATGGGTTACATTTCACAGGATTAAGTAACATAAGCAATGTCTTCGAAAAAAGACCCGCAAATGGATACACAGTCTTTCCTTCGAAATGCTATCAGACAATAAAAAGATAATGGAGCAGATTTTTCCAATGAAGAGACAACCTGCTCAGTTAAATGAAGAGTATCAAAGGGCGTGTTTGCTTCATCGACCTTCATTTGAAAACAGACATCTCATTTATGTTTTGTATTCTGGTAGACAAAGTTCCTTAGTGGTTATTTCTTCTTCTGAAAAATGCAATGAGATGTTTTTACGATTTCAAATAAGTAATATTATAGAAGAAGTTTAAAAATAGGAAAATATAGAATTTTATGACCATATCGTTATGGATTAATTCATTGATGAGATGCGAGTCCTTTAGAAGGACGACTTTGTGGTCGGTAAACTAATGTAATACCTGTGATTCTACCGATGTATTCATTCTATTTATCTTCTATGCTTTCGTTAAAAAATTCGTAAATAATTTGATGATCTGTTCATCATCTCCTTTAGTTTAGGAGCACAAGGATGCAAGACAGTTTTAATGGCCAAATGTTTTCCACTCGTGGTCTTCGGTTGCAAACTTTTATTAACAATCCACGGTTTGGAAATTAGCTACCAGTACACAGATTCATCATCTTAAAGTTGCTACAGAATTCTTAATTTATTTCATTCTAAATGTTTTTATGTGGTGCGTAAATCTAGAAGGGCACTTCGTCGAACGAGTAGAATTTAAACTTACCATCAAGTTTATGAATGTGCAATTAGAAAAAATCCATTGTAGTTTGGTTGATGTAGCTCAGCTTCTCTGTTCATATATATCATCTGATGTACATATATTTACTTCCATGTTAGTATGTTACTTTAGATTCGGATGAGAGCTCCACAATAAAACTTCATTCGTAAGAGAGTATGCAAGTGTCGGTAGTGTAATTGCGTGAAAAAAGCATGGGAAAGGAACAGCTGACAACGACAAAAATCCTTTAATAGGAGGGTTTGTTTCTCAAAAATATAAGTGCAATTCGTTAATAGTTCAAAAGGATTCGTTCTCAAGCGAAGCATTTGAAAACAAAATTTTTGCCATACTGGTGAGAACATATGAAGGCGGAGAAGTACTTAGATCTATGTTGAACGAAATGAAGAGCTCTCTCTCACTTTCCTTATCCTTTTGACGAATGCTGATCGGTGAATTTAGGACAAAGTTTCAAAAGGTAAATTGTATTAAACGCTTTTCTTTTCGATTTATCGTTAGAGCCAAAGGAAAGTACAAGCTATTTAGAACGTTTTCAAAAACTGGGCCGTGATTGACTATTGTTGTCATTTTGCTCTGGTTGAAAGTTGCTGTATCAATGAATGTATTCAGTTTGAGCCAATATTAGAGAGAGAGGTCATGATGTGCAAAGCCATAAAACTTTATATTTTAGTATAACAATTGATTAGGGTGAAACGAAGTAGCGTAAAAAAGAAGAATAGCCAACGTTCAAGGAACGATTTTAAGGTTTTTCAAGGGTGGGCGGAAAGAGGCTGGATCAACATCCTGAGGCAAAGAGAACATAAGTTTTGCAACTCACATTATAAAGCTAATTACTTCTCGCATGGCTCAGCTGGTCAGAGATGGAAACAGATTTTTCACCGCTTTAAAAGTATCCTCCTTTGACTCGCGTTACCCTTTTTAAATTTTAAATCTCTTCGCGTTTATTTATTTATTTATTTGGTATTTTAGAAGGGAAAAGTATCGAGTCCCTTCTAAATCGTTCGTGGGAGATGGGTCGGCCATGCATGATTCCTCCACCTTCATTTAACTTGGAAAAAAAATACGAACTTTTAATCAAAACACTGCCAAAAGGGTCAGTTCTATAGAAACTGTCACCTTAGCTACTTTTCTTACATTAGTAAATATAATCCTAAGCTTTTAAAGACTTTTAAGAATAAAAACAGCTCGGGAGGAATTCTATTCAATGTTTATTTTCATTTGGTATTGACGCAGTTTTAGACGGTAGTGTTTAAAGTCAATAATACCAAGACCAACAGCATTCTTGTCCTGTAAACGGCTTACGAAAGCTGTTTTAACATTTTGCTCTTTGGATGCTATATTTCTGCGGGTCAAAAATCAGGAGATTTTTTCCTTAGAACCGGCGCCGGTTCAAATAAATCTAATTTGTCATGCTGTGAGAGGAGGGTGTGATGTCAACCCACAGTGGAATAATACCCCCACCCTGTCGATAGCTTTTTATTGGGATGATGATAGCAGATATTTCTGTCGCATGGAGAAATTTGAACCATAAGTTTTATTCCGCAAATGAAGAACCATCAAACCTAATGATTTGTCTGTTATCGGGGTTCATCGTATCAAAAACACCAAAATTGAAAACAGTTTAGGCTAAACTATGATTGAGTGCCAAGTTAATTTGGAGCAGATTAGTGTCTTTTTACAGACGCGTGGTTTTGTCTGTGGCTGACCTAAAAGGAATCTCAGTTGTCGTGATCCTAAAAATACAAGCAGAACACGAAGTCTGTGTGAAGAGGCACTTATTCACTTCATGGTTCCTGCTGGTTGCGTATCCGTCATTCTTCAAAAGAATCACAAGTGCTTTGTTACCCGAAATTTAAAATGGACGAAACGAAGAGAATGGAAAACCAGTTGCACAATTGACGGATACTTGAAGTTTTCTTTTCAGTTCCATGTGCACAGGGAAATTAAATCCGTGAACAATACTGAAAGGATTGTTTCTGTTATGTGCAGCCTCTTAAAGGTGGTTTTTAAGGGTGGTTTTCTTCAATATTCCATTGAAAGAATGAATACTGGTCCGAAAATGAATGTACGGTGCGTGGATCTGCTAAAGAACTGAGAAGTACACGGTCTGTCTGATTTGATTTGGTTTCATCTGATGCTATACATATAAGTCATTTTTTTTTTACTCATAGTCCTCTAAGAATTATTTTATTTATTATATAGAGGTGTATGCTAAGAGAGAATTAACACATTTATCTGAGATCGTGTGTGTTTCTTAGGAGTCTCAAGCAAATTGAGCACGTTCATTTTAACCGTGCAGTTTGGATTTTTTTACAAACGTATTATCATAGTCGTTTAACAACAACACCCATTGATATTAAGGACGAAAATATCTTCGGCCCAACTTTTACATAAAAGCAAATGTCAATAGGGTACTAACTTTTAGCGAAAAAAAATTCTTCTTCTGAAAGATTACTGCGTGTGATTCTTATTTTGTGTTTTCATACTACTAATTTAGAAATATCCCTATTTGTAAAATCTCAGAGATTGATAATTTCTGAAAATGCTTTCCATTTGTACCAAAGAAATCCCTCGAGCACAAGACCTCCACGAAAATATCAACGTTTAGAGATCGGAAAAGATATAATTTATTAAAAAGGATGTTCCACGTTTGTGAAAGCATTGATCAACTCTTTCCTTGGAGGGATATAATTTGGGCGTTTGTATAAGTCTAACTCAACGCTAAGTTAATGTTAAACAGTGCTAACAATTCAATGCTGCCTATACAACGTGGAAAATTTGCACAAAATGTAAACGTCATTTCCGAGCAATATAAAAGATCTATATGATTAACTGTAACACACTCTATGTTTCACAAGGGCTTTGCGCTTTAAGGAGCTGTGAAAATCTTTATGGGATTTGGGAATATTCTGATGCACGCGTTTTGGATCCCTCCTGACTCTCTAATACGAATAATCATAAAGAGCTGTGAAAATCTTTACGAGGCACGTGTTTTCGATCCCTTCAAAATGTATAAGACAAAATATTTGTGCTACACTCCTGATCTGTGTTTTCCGTCTAAAACGATGATCCTCTGAGATCTTTTCATAAATATGCTATTTGTTCTGTTTATGTCAGTGAACGCACGGCAGTCACTAAGCCGAGGTCTTTGATTAAATAGTTGCATAGAGCAGAACCATGGCAAAAAAATGACAAGAATTCAATACAGCACTTTAAGTACTTTAACCATATCCGATGAATTTTCCTAAGTTATCACGAAACGAAATAACAGTGATTTCATTCGGAAAGCGAACGCATCCGAGAAAACTTACTCAGGTTTATGAGAGTTCATTTCATTGAGGAGGATTTTAATGTGTATTTTACCTAAGAGACTTCCTCGGCTTTAGGAATATCCCTGACCCATGCAAAGCGAGAGAGCGAACCACTTATAGTGCCATAAGAGACACATCGAAATACTCAGGAAGGAAACTGCGAAGTTCCACTGTGAACCAAACCCCATGTGTTGCACTTTTAAGATTGAATATTATAATCGGATACCTCAGTAGGGACACTTCCTTCTCATGTCCCTAATAAACTTTGGCTCGTCCTGCTGCGCTCTCTGGCAGTGTTTCCATCCTTGTTACCAACGTGAGCAGCCAATTAGCGGAACGTGAGCTCGTGTACTGCTGGCTCTACGCTTGTCAGCGGTAGTTGTAAGAATGTGTATTGCGTAACGTGTAACGCCTTACGTCATCTCCTCGTTTTAAAGAATAGAACGCCTCTGGTTGTTCTCCGTCTTGGACACGTGTTGAAGTATAGAGTTATCGATGTAATAGCTCTGTTTTCCAGCAATATCTCATTGACTTTGCCACAGTAATCGCAACTGGCGAGGGACCTGGCAACCAGAGGAGATGGAGAGACAAAGAAGAGCGAAGAGGCCTTTTGATACTGCTCAGTATTCTGTGTTGGACTTCTTTTTTAGAGTCTAAATCTTTTTGAACTATGCACATTTGAAACGACTTGGTTTAACAGAAAAACATTGGTTACTATCACATGACGCTCCTTGCTTCATTTTCCAGAATCCTATAGAGTTGATTCATGCACTGAGTCCCAACCCACGCTGCCAAACCTTTTTTTTTTATAATTATTATAGGCAGGCATTAATTTCAAACCAGAATTTGTTTTGTTATTAACATTGACGCAAAGCTCACATCATAAGTTTTAAAAGCATCAGTTTTTATGTACCCGTGTGTGACATGAAAATGAAAGCAACTGAATATAGAAACTGCTTGAAGTAAAAAAAGAGTTTACAGTGATCACAAAAGCTTTCTTCCCTCATCTTTGTCACGCAGAAAATAAGCCAGCTTCGAAAGTAAGATTTAGGTCGTGCTTGCTTGTTTATTTAAAAGTTTTCAGGTTATTTATTGTTAATAATAACTCATACAAATTAATATTTTTATGCCGACTCAGAAAAAAGCCGAAAAAATTTGCATTATAAAAACTCATCATAATTCCAAAAATCATTCACTGATAACCCATCTTTCTAAATTTTTAATGTCCACGAGACTTTAAGTGGCTTCCCTTTTTTCTTCAAGAATATGAAAGGAAATTCATTTAAACTTCTCCATTCACTTAACTGATCAAAATGTATCTTTTCAATACCAAGAGGTAAATCGTGAAACTAATGCAATGCATTAATTGCAAGGGACCGATCATAATTTAAAACCAGCAGGGAGGGGGAGGGGGGTTTAGTGGATTTTACCGGTGCCATAATAAAATTTACGTGATCCCCCCTAAGTCTCTTTAAGATTCTAATTGTCCCACCTCATGGGAATTGTCTATAGTCTTCCTCTTTTAACTGTTAGTTACGACTACTCCCTTCTCCGTTCCCCCGCTCCCGTCCCCCTATTCTCCCAAGGGCGATGACTAACGACTGATGTCTGAGTAGGATTTTCTATCAAAGCAATTTAGTGTTAACAACTGAGCTGAAAGCTCAAATTGGCTACCGTAAAGAGTTAAAAGGCTGACGTTTCGATCATTAGCCCTTCGTCTGACGCACCACAGTTTCTTTAGAAACTTACCTCCTTTTTTCTATCATAGTGTTGCGGGCTCTTAGAGGAATCGTCACCAACATATTAAAAAAGTATCGATTCAAGTCGCTATCGGTGAGGTACTCA